ACATGAAGTGCTTTCATGTAAGAGTTAACTGCAATTCGGCAGTTTCACATCACAGTTTCACTCACAAACATTTCATTCATGCCCCCGTGACAAACTGGGGTATTAGACGCAAAAAGGAGTGAGGACTGGTGAGAGTGTTATGGAATTTCATAACGCACGCCAAATGGAAAGAATAAAAAAACATTTGCATTTTGCGATGTGTGTGTGTGTGTGTGTGTTTGTGCAGTCCTTTACTGACAGCCGAGTGTCTTGATCTTGTCGGAAAATATGGCAAAGTCGTACATAGCGGTAATAGTTTGATCGTGGTGTTCACTTTGACTCTCCACAAGTCTTAATTCCATTTCTGTTTTGTTCATTTATTACTTTAGCCGAATAAAGGTGATTAAAATCGCTGTTTGAAGCTTATGCAGGCCTGCAGTTTAGAATTCATGTTTAACTAAATAAACACAAGTACATCTTATTGAACATCATTTATTTTTATCTCCGATTATCATAGTAGAACAGTTTCTCCAGCAGTTTGTGATGGATTTTGGAAACCAGAGATGAGCCCCTGGTCTAATGCACCACCTGGTTTAAGAAACCTGTTTTCAAAGTCTTACTTTTAGTCATTATTTGCATTATTTGGGTAGCACAAATGTTCTGACTGCCTTCGGCAGTATTCAAATGAGCCATTTTAATTTAGAACTATTCCAAGATTACAGTAGGATTAATTTAGATTAAAAAACTTAATATATGCCCACCCATAATATATATATATATATATATATATATATATATATATATATATATATATATATATAACAGTCTTTTGTCTGGTTGTTGCATTATTCTGCAATAACAGCACTTGTACAGCCTCCTCACCCTTGTGTATTACTCCGCCCACATAGAGTGACAGCAGATTAATAAACTCACCACGGTTGGACAAACAATGCAGCTGTCATGAATGTAGTTGTTTAGATTGCATCTACGCAGTTAATTTATAAAGACACTGCCCATTTAAAAATATTCATGAATTTGGTGGTCATCAGCCAGTCATATTGTCCGCCGTCCTTATAGCACTTCTCTGACGGCTACTTATTCAGAGGTATCCACCATACCTCTAAATAAGTAGCCGCCAGAAAAGTGCTAGTGTCTTTTTTTTTATATTTGTTTTATGTATATTTGTTTTAGGTTATATCGAAAGGCAATTTTTTGGCCACAGTCATCTGTTATTTACTCCAGAGCAAATATATTTGACTGCAATGTTAACTTTAGCTTAATGCTAAATGAAAACTTGGTCTTCATTCTTTTGACTGATTTACTTATCGTTCAGGGTTTCCGCAGGTCTTAAAAAGTCTCAAATTTAAAAATCTAAATTTTAGACCTTAAAAAGTCTTAAATTGGCTGTTCTAGGTCTTAAATATTTTTCCACAGGTCTTATTTTTCTGATGTCCATGTATCGCTACATCCAACGCTCATTTCAATTCTTTTTTGTTGCCGTTGCTTGGTTTTCGTGGTGTTGTAGTTCTTTATTTCACTAGTCCTAATGTAATTTGCAGAATTACAATTACAAATAGGACCAACATGCAATAGCCAATCAGCTTTCTGTTATTAAACTCAGTGCGAGTGACGAATGCCACGTATGAATGCCACTGTAGCTCAATGATGCATCTAACCTGTATTCAGTACTGTTCAATTTAAATACATTTATTTATTTGTGTATGCCTGTTTTTGATATTGTGATAAGGATCTTTAATGAAATACTTAATGTTCTCAAAAAGGTCTTAAAAAGTCTTAAATTTGACAGTATGATGTCTGCAGAAACCCTGTCTTTATATTGTTGTTTGTTAAATGTTATTGATCAATATAATTATTTGATATACTTTACAGTAATCTTTAATATACATATATTTTTTGTAATATACATTTGTAGTAATTTCAGCCTGATCTCACGAGGAAACGTACGTTTTTTTATGTTTTGTCAGTTTAGTGGCTAATAAGTTCAGTCGTACAAAAATGTACGATTTTAAAAAGGAGGCTTGGTACTCAACTCCACCCCTAACCCCAACCGTCATTAGGTGATGAGCAAATCTTACTAAATTGTACAAATTAGATCGTAAAAATTCAGAAGAATTACCCACTAAATCAAAGTTACAAACTGCTGTGAGATTGCGTTGGTAATTTAGCATGACTTTAGCAAATAAATCGACTATTGATGTGACATTGCTCCGCCACATGATGGAGACAGAGACTGCATAATAAGCTGGGAGATGAAAAAGGTTCTCAGCATAAATATAAATTTTAAAAAATCATCTAAAAAAACAGATAAGTGCCATTCTAAGTTGATCTGTCTTTTGTATTTTATATTGCTGTATTTATATCATGGTAGTCAAGTAGTGTTTGATTTGCTTTGGCTTTTTCAGGGTTAATGTTTGTGAAAATCCTGAGAAATACTGGGAGATCTCTGTAGACTGATGGAATTTATATATTTATTTAAATATATAAATTATATATATTATATATATTATATTATATTATATTATATTAAGTTATATTATATTATATTTTATTATATTATATTATATTAAGTTATATTATATTATATTAAGTTATATTATATTATATTATATTATATTATATTTTATTATATTATATTATTTTATATTATATTATATTATATTATATTATATTATATTATGTTATATTATATTATATTATATTATATTATATTATATAAACATTAATAAACTAACAATGCAATTGTAATATAAGCTACAAAGCATAATATTCTGAATAAGCTGTATTATTAATACAATATATTAGAACTACATGTATTTATTCAAAATTCTGAATATTTTATAAAATTTCATATTACTATTCTATTTTAAACCATACCATCTATTGAAAAAGGGCCTTTAACAATAATACAAATATTCATAATAGCATACAACAAGCTTATTTGGTTAATTTTTTAGCATTCATTCTTTACAAAACTTTTAAAATACATTGACCATTTTGAGGGATGTAAACGATAGCAATAGTAGTCCTAATGTACTTTCTGGTTTACATTTTTAATTTTCATTGCTTCCGAGAACCCAAAAATGTCCACATATTGATAAATAATGTTATGATAGCTGTTTTAATGTCAAGTTATCATAAAGTTATTGCCTTTCGTTACAGTTAGGAAACAGTTTAACAACAAACAGGAGATGTTTATGGGGTAATGGCATCACCACATTGAAATGGTCTACATTTAATTTATTAATTTTTTTTTTTTTTTTTCATGGGTAAAAGCATATTTGTACTGGACAACAAGATTTGCATATAAAGTATCCAACTGTTGGACAAAGATGGATAAACTGGTAACAAAGTAAATAGAATTTATTTAAAAGAAGCAGGTCATTAAGAAGACTTATTCAGGTGCTGTGTCCATTTTTAACTGTCATCATCCCACAACCACTGACTAATCATTACCAACTACATATTTTTGGAGTGGTATAAGACTTCTGAATCCATATTTTACCACAATTTTTTGTTAGCTTATGTTTTGTTATGTTATGTTGGAAGTGTAATAGATTAAAACACCTGTAGGACATTTTTACGGTTAATTTTTTAAACCGTAATATTGAAGTCTAAACCTAAAGCAATGATGTGTATATAACTGTATATAATTTGAAGGCTTAAAATTTTAATGTTTCTATATATGGTGAGGGAGTTTTGATAGATATCACTGAGCAACAGTTATTTATTAATTTTCAACAAGGATACTTATCAGAGTAGTAAAGCATAATTTGCTACAGCAATACACATGCAAAATTTTGTTTAGATGTTTTTAGATGCGTTTTAGAGGATACATTTAAATCAAATACCACCAAACTGCCAATACTACTTTAGAATTGTATGTTTACTTTACAAATATTGTCAAAAGCATGAAAAAAATACTGTTAATATTCCTCAAAACATAGGGGACGACCTTGTATGGTCATCAATGTTAACTTGATGTGATCTGGTGGTGATGTTTGGTACTGCGGCCAAACAAAATCTTACTGAAAAGATATTTTTTTCAGATATCAACTTCAAATGTGTAATATATTTTGTTCAGAAATTCAGCTTTGATTTTCTGTCAGTATTAGGCAAGAACATGTATCATATTAATGTATAGACTTTTCTTTTCATAACAATAAAGTTTTATTAAACTTTTTTCGCTTCAATCTGACGTCTAATGCTGCTAAAATGTGACCAGGCTTTGCACCAAAGCATTGAAGATTGACATTCATTGAATTTAAACATGTTATTTTCATGTCTGTGTTCAAAAAGTTGGGGTGACAGTAGCAGTACCTTTACCTTAACTAACTTTGAAAAAACTTTTAAAGGGCTTTTAATTTGTAATTTATTTTATTTCTTGCTGTCCTTGTCAAGCACCCACACCCTTTTTTGTTCATTTCAGAGCCACTGACTGGCTTTCAGGCTCATTTTTCAGTCAGCTGAGGAAGAAACAAGGAAGGAAATTTGCAGGGAAGCAGGAATTAAAGGCACAGTTCTTAATTAAGTCAATAAAGAGAGTTTCAACCAAAGCGTCTTAATTAATGAAAGCTTTTAGCTAGCAGCTGCACCGGGGAACTGTTTACTGCTCGCTTCTCGTTTCGTTTATTTTGCTGACGTACTGCTCGCTGAGAAATTGCATGCATGCCGGAGTGCCAAATAACAATCTTTTTTTTTTTTTTTGGTTTTTATGGTCTTTCTGACAGAGAAAATCAGCCGTCGCTTTAGTCGAGTCTGTCCCACGGCACACACTGCTGCATGCTGGTTAATTTAGAGAAGAAAAAAAAAAACGAGAGCAAACGTTGGGCGCTTGGAGAAGAGACGAGCTTCTCCTCAGTCTGACGTGCTTCATCTTTGATGTTAGCTGCAAACGCTAGCTAAAAACAGACATTAACCGACTGACTTTCCCCCTCGCTCGATGACTTTCAGACTTTTCAACATGTTCGCCATGCTGGGACTATAACAGACAATTCTCTTACCATGGTGCCGACGCTGTACGCTGCTGCCGGGCCGATGCTGTGGTGATAAGGGTCAGTGGTTGCATAGACTCTTCCATAGCTGCAGAACAAAAACAACACAACAGTGTGGAGATACACAGCATTAATACTGGAGCACTGACTCTTATACTGAAGGGGCTGGGGAACACTTGATTCTGATTGGCTGATGAATATTATAATGCTAAATGAGAACCAAAAATAACCAAATGTGGACTTAAGTATTCGTGCGAAGAAGTTAAATGCGAAGTCAGTGCAAAAATGCTAACAAAAGTGACTTTAAGCTAGGCGATGAGAATTAGGTGGAATGTGCAACGAGTTTGTCGCAAACATGCGGAATTGGCCACAATTGTATTTTTCGCTTTAATGTTTAAATGTTTATACGGGAAAACAAGAAAAATCCAGAATAAAAGCAGAGAATAAAAAGAGAGAATAATGAAAGCAAGCCCGAGGTGTGTGAAGGTGAAGTGAACGCTGTGATCCTGAACAGGAAGCACAACACGTGTCATTTCCTTTCATTTATACATTACATATATTCTTCAACACACACAGCTTGCAAATGAAGGTCTGCGGCGAGAAGATAAGAAAACAGTGGGCCTCGGCCGCAGGATATATACAGATATATACTGTACGCTTTAATGTGTGTGTGTGCGTGGAGATGCTGACTCAGTCTGGACTGGCAAGAAACCTGCTTTGAAAGCACCACATTGACTTCAGCACACTGCAAACCATCATTTCATTAATCAGGAAGAACAGAATTATTGTCTCGTTTTACAGTAAAAACTCTTTTAAAGCAACATGTATTGCATTGTATTGAAGAAGAATCGCATTTTATTGAAATTTTGTCTTGTTGAATTTCCTCTTTATTCCTCAGACTTGTCTAATATACAGTATTATACTGCTGATTACAAATATTGCAGCAGTCAAAATATTACAGGGTTAGCACAAAAGTAATCTAAAAGTAATAAAAAAGTCATCTGATTACGTTATCATACATGTGTAATCTGAGATACAGTATTATACTGCTGAAAAAAACTATTGTATCTGTCAAAATAATACAAGGTTAGCACAAAAGTAATCTAATGGTAATCCAAAAGTAATCTAATTACATTACCATACTTGTGTAATCTAAGATACAGTATTACACTGCTGAAAAAACTATTGTATCTGTCAAAATAATACAAGGTTAGCACATAAGTAATTTAATGGTAATCCAAAAGTAATCTAATTACATTACCATACATGTGTAATCTAAGATACAGTATTATACTGCTGAAAAAAACTATTGTATCGGTCAAAATAATACAAGGTTAGCACAAAAGTAATTTAAAAGTAATCCAAAAGTAATCTTATTACATCATCATACTAGTGTAATCTAAGATACAGTATTATACTGCTGAAAAAACTATTGTATCGGTCAAAATATTACAAGGTTAGCAGAAAAGTAATCTAAAAGTAATCCAAAAGTAATTTGATTACATTACCATACATGTGTAATCTAAGATACAGTATAATACTGCTAAAAATCTATTGTATCGGTCAAAATAATACAAGGTTAGCACAAAAGTAATCTAAAAGTAATCCAAAGTAATTTGATTACATTACCATACATGTGTAATCTAAGGTACAGTATTTTACTCCTGAAAAAAAAAAAACATTGTATCTGTCAAAATGATACAAGGTTAGCACAAAATTAATCTAAAAGTAATCCAAAAGTAATCTTATTACATTACCATACATGTGTAATCTAAGATATAATATTATACTGCTGAAAAAATATTGTATCGATCAAAATAATACTAGGTTAGCACAAAAGTAACCCAAAGGTAATCTGAGGGAATCAGATTACGTTATTGTAAGTGTGTAATCCAAGATACAGTTAAAGCCAAGGTCCAGATGTACATTAGTCAACATTTTACTAATATATGAATTACCAGATGTACTGATATAACCATGTTACTAACAATTAACTGTTACTAATATCATTTAATAAAAAACAGACATATTTAATGTAAACAACCTGTAGAAAATTACAACCTGTAGTTTTACTAATAGTATATCACATGATTATTAAAACTTAGAAATTTTTTAATGAAAACAGAATAAAATCTCACGCAAAAATAAACAAACAAATGCAGCAGAAGAAAAATAAGAATTTAAAACTAATTATAAACCTGCTTCACTTCTAAAATGTTTCATTACAAAATAATGCATACAAATATTAAACTGTTGAATTGATTCATTATTTATTTAATTTTGGAAGCTATCTTCATCAGATTTGAAATATGAACTCACAAGACACTTGGCTTTTAAGACATATTTTCTTAACTAGTTTTTGTTTGTAGCTCACTGGGGTCAAGAACTATTACTATTTTAAGTTAGGTAGGTGAATATCCAGTTATTCACATTTTGTTATTAAAAAAATGTACCGTTAAGTCAAGCTAATTGATTATAATTATTAATATTAGTAAAAAAATGCACTCATCTGACACAATAACACTTTATCCTAATTATCCCAACAACTAAAAGCTTTTATTGCTTTTCCTCTTCTTGTTGTTTAGTTGAGAGCTGAAACAGATAATATGATGGATTTGTGCTCTGGTTGATCACGTTTCTGTGTGGTGACCATTGTTGAAATGTGATTTTCCTTGTGTGTATGAAGCTGTACCTGTCGCTGTACGCTGTAGCTGTCGCAGGCTGAGTATATCTGTACGCCGCATATCCACCCTGAAAACACACCAAACACCGAAACGTCAACACAACAACAGACAAACATCATTTAAGCACAGGTTAAACACAGTTACATGATCTGTAGCAAAGGGAAAAAATAATACTGCAGATTTGCTGTGCAATTTTTACAGATTTTTAGATTTGTGATTAATAATATTAAATTTTTTATATTATTAGTATTATTTTCATCGATAATATTATTCAACTACTTTTGTTTTTATGTAAAGCACTTTAAATAACCTTTGTGAAGTGTGCTATATAAATAAACTTGCTTTGTTTTTCTTGAACATTTCTCATTGGTAGTATGTGGCTCAGCTTACATGTCGACAAAATGTAAAACTGCTCTGGGAACGTTTTGTTGCACGTTTCAGATGACAAACCCACTAGAGGGCGCTGTCTACATTTTAGTGAATCTAAATTACGTTACTTAGGGTGCATTTTGTAATACATTTCTGACACACGTCCTGTTTATTCATATGCAGGAGAAGATCCACTGACCTAAACCCAACCAATCTCATGAAAAGTCATGACGTATCAGTGACGTATGGAATACTGTTTCTGGGTCCAAGCCGTCTCTCATTTGAATTGAGAAAATATTAGTTTATAACCACTTTTTAGTCCTATTACACAGTAAAGTGAATTTTATATAAAATCATAAAAACATTAATCACCTTTTGGCCATCGGATTTTAGGCATGTGTATGTGTGTGTGTATATATATATATATATATATATATATATATATATATATATATATACTAGGAAGCGGATTCGCATGACGTCACACTTAACAAGCGGATAGTGTTTTAAAAAGCAAACGTAAGATAAAAGTCCAATGTGATAATACAGTTGTACCTTGATTTCTCTTTTATTAAAGTATGCTTTACTTGTACTCGACCCTGCTGAAAAAAAAGGTTACCTACAGTAGCTTACCTTGTTGCTGCAAACTACTCTGGTTTAGCTATTGGAAAAAAACAGCTTAAACCAGCCTAGGCTGGTTGGCTGGTTTTAGCTGGTCAACCAGCCTGGTTTTAGAGGGGTTTTGGCCACTTCCAGGCTGGTTTCCAGCCATTTCCAGCATGGTATTAGCTGCTCAGGCTGAGAGATGACCAGCTGAAACCAGCCTGAACAGCCTAGCCAGGCTGGGAGCCCAGCCAAAACCAGCTTTGTCCAGCTTAAACCAGGCTGGTCAAGCTGGTCACTTTCCAGCCTGACCAGCCAAGACCAGGCTGGAAATGGCTGGAAACCAGCCTTAAAGTGGCCAAAACCCCTCTAAAACACGGCTGGATGACCAGCTAAAACCAGCCAACCAGCCTAGGCTGGTTTAAGCTGTTTTTTTTCAGTAGCTAAACCAGAGTAGTTTGCAGCAACAAGGTAAGCTACTGAGCAAACTGACCACACCAGAAAAGTTGACTTGAGTTTGTGTTGCATATGCCAGCATAAACACTCGCTGGACTTAAGCAATTTGGTTTACTTGTTTGTTTGATTTAAAAATATAATGATGTTCAAATCAGATTTGATTAAGTAATGTCGATTAGGTCATTTCAACACTGAAACTGTTAATTTAAAGATGTAAATCTTGTACATCTATCCACTTAAATTTGTAAGAAATTAACAAGTTAACTTAAATCCTTCATGTTGTCCCAACACAAATTGTGTAGATCCTCACATTTTTTTACAGTGTAAAAGTGGGGTAGTAGAATGCGTTTCTTCTCCATATTTATATGTGCAGCATGAACAAATAAAAGCATATGCATATGTTTCTAAAGGCTCATTGAACTATTCCTCTTCAACCAATAAAGATTAGTCTGACAATTATTTGCACATCTCGGCTGTGCAGGTAAGAGGCAGTTAAAGACGGTTAAAGACGCAACCTCAAATGTGAGCACATGATGCCTTCAGATGCAGTTTTTACAGCGATTGAAAGGCATCAGTCGTGGTTCTAGTTGAAAAGCGAGCAGATTCTGCTGATTTGCCGCTTGTATCATAATCAGGAGAGACTGTGAGGTGGAGTGCAGCTCATTTGTCTGTAGGCAGATCGCTAATAACACACATTAATCAGAGCGTCAGAAGTAGAACAGCTTTACATTCTCTGGCCAGACAAACACACACAACACCAATGAAGGTGTGGGACTGCCACCAGGAGGCGTTGTTCACACACAGAGTTATGGGCTTTCATGTGCGGAAGGTTTGCATTGATATTGTGCTTGCTGCATCACTAATTAACACAGAAAGTTAAAGTTAGCACAGGTTTGTGTGTTTCTGAAATGATGCAGGAATGTAAACAAGGAGGAAAAATAGAGAGAGAGAGAAAGAGAGAGAGAGAGAGAGAGAGAGAGAGAGAGAATTAAATTGTTATATTGATGATCCTCCACCACCATTTTTTTTTTCTTTTTGTATCTGTCAAAATAATATGGGATTAGCTCGAAAGTAATTTAAAGGTACATTATTATAAATGTGTAATCTAAAATAGAGTATTATAGTGCTGACAACAACTATTGTATCTGTCACAATAATATAAGATTAGCACAAAAGCAATCTGAAGGTAATCCAAAAGTAATCAGATCACTCTACCATAAATGTGTAATATACGATACAGTATTATACTGTTGACTACAAATATTATATCTGTTAAAATAATACGCGGTCTGTAAAAAGTAATCTAATGGTAATCAAAAAGTAATCAGATTACATTACCATAGATGTGTAATCTAAGATAAAGTATTATACTGCTGACTACAAATACTGTGGGCTCTGTTTTGACGGTCCATGCGCAAAACGCAAAAGCGCAAGGCGCAAATGCTTTCAGGGCGTGTCAGAATCCATATTTGCAAATTTAATGACGGTAAAATCCGCTTTGCGCCGTGACACATGGTCCAAAAGGATTGAGTTTATTTTCCTAATGAGTTATAGGTGTGTTTTGAGAATAAACCAATCAGAGTCTCATCTCCCATCACCTTTAAGAGCCAGCTGCATCGCGCCATAAGCGCATTTGCTATTTACAGGACGTAAAGTAAGTTTACTTTCGCTTTTGCTCTCGTGGATAGGGAAACCTTTACGCACAGACATCAATTAGCCTATAAATAATAATTTTGTTTGTTAAGCGGAAATATTTGTTTCAAAACTATATTCAGTCTAAATTTCAAAACTATATTCATCTAAATTCATCTAAATTCAGTTCTAATTTCCAGCAAACGAATAAATGAACAATAATAATGAAGTGTGGTCAAAATACTGAGCTATTTCCAAATACACCTGCTATGCCCCATATGGTCTTAAACATGACAGGTGGACAAATCTAAGGTTGTTTTTAATAAAACAAATATATATATATATATATATATGGATATAATAAGTAATACTGCTAATAATAATAACATTATACTAAAGCAAATTGAATGAACTGAAAAAGCCTCACGAGATGAAGAAAGTATGAAGGCAGTGGTTTTTAAATATATATATATATTATATATATTTATATATATCCTTAATATATTTATTATATATATATCCTTATTATATATATATCCTTAATATATTTCATATGTAAAGATATTTGCGTATTGCTCTACATCTTGTGTGTATTGTGTAAGCCAGGCGCACTTTGCGCCAGACAATAGACCGACTTTGTTCTGGTCTAAAGAACAGACTATTTACAGTTTCTCAAAATAGCAACGCACCAAAACAGACCAGAACGCCTATGGGCGCACATGTGATTGCATATGCATTTGCTATTTAAACAGTGTGGCGCAATGCCTCAAAATGACCCTTGCGCCGAGCTGAAAGTAGCAAATAGCAATTGCGTTGCGTCTTGCGCCACATTACGCCAGGTGTATGATAGGGCCCTGTATTTCAAAATAATACAGATATAGCACAAAAGTAATCTAAAACAAATCCAAAAGTAATCCGATTACATTACCATAAATTAGTAATCTAAGATAAAGTATTATACTGTTGACTACAAATTTTGTATCTGTCAAAATAATACAAGGTTAGCACAAAAGACATGTAAAGGTAATCCAAAAGTAATCGGATTACATTACCATAAATGTGTTGTCTAATATTTAGTATTATACTGCCCACTAGAAATATTTTGTCTGTCAAAATAATACAGGGATAGTCAAAAGTAATTTAAAAGTAATTCAAAAGTAATCAGATTACATTGCCATAAATGTGTAAACTAGAGTATTATACTGCTGACTACAAATATGGTATCTGTCAAAATAGTTATAGCACAAAAGTAATCTAAAATAAACCCAAAAGTAATCCGGTTACATTACCACAAATTAGAAATCTAAGATACAGTAATATACGGTTGACTACAAATATTGTGTCTGTCCAAGTAATATAGGGTTAGCACAAAAGTAATCTAAAAGTAATCCAAAAGAAATCTGATTACATTACTATAAATGTGTTATCCAAGATATAGTATTATACTGCCAACTACAATAATTTTGTCTGTCAAAATAATACAGGGTTAGCACAAAGGAAATCTAAAAGCAATTCAAAAACAATCAGATTACATTACCATAAATGTGTAATCTAAGATAAAGCATTATATTGCTGACTTCAAATATTGTATTTCAAAATAATACATAGTTATAGTACAAAAGTAATCTAAAATTAACCCAAAAGCAATCCGATTACCATACCATAAATTACTAATTTAAGATACAGTATTATACTGTTAACTACAAATATTGCGTCTGTCAAAATAACACAGGGTTAGCACAAAAGTAATCCAAAATAAATCTGAAAGTAATCCAATTACATTACCATGAATTTATAATTTAAAAATAACATATTTATATGACAAAATAATACAGGGTTAGCACAAAAGTAATCTAAATGTAATCCAAAAGTAATCTGATAATAGTATTATAAATGTGTAATCTATGATAAGATTGACTACAAATATTGTCATGTAATTTGTGATTAGTAACCAATTACAATTCACAGGTAATCCACCGAGAAATATAAGTGACCTATTTTGATTTC